ATTTATGTTTTTTTTAATGAAATTTTTTTATTATGATAATCGTTCATAATTTAATTTGTGCTTTGTAGATGTTTAGTGTGGATTATGTTGTATATTAGAATATAACCTAATGTTAAGTGTATTAGGTTTGATAGTTATTAATTCTTTAACTTATTATTAATTAATCAACACTCTAACCAAAACAGAGTTTTGATTGAATATAGAATCTCACTTATTGTAATATTTTCTTTGTTTGATCAGAGGCAAAGAAATGCTCATCGAATGAACTCGATCGGTAGAAAATGAAATATTTGGCCAAGTTGCTGAATAATCACCCTAAAAGTATCGAGAATCGACGAATCCCTCAAGACCTTATATGTATAAAACAATGACTGGTTTTTAGTTCAATTTTTGCATAGTATAACATAGAATTAGAAGTTTGTTAGTTCTGTTAGTGACATTAACTCATTGTAAAATATACTCTTATTAATTTTCTTGAACAGAGTTATTCATTATGTTGCATATTTATTCATGTACTAAGGCTATGTTATTCATAGACTAAAGTACAATTATTCATCTAGCGAAACTTCATCTATAGTAATATCGTTTATCTAAAATACTATCATTATTTTTCATCCAATTGTCATTATTCATCTATTATTAGTATCGTTATGCATCCAAAACAATCATGTTACCCTTTAAATAAAAAATAGAAATGTGATAATAAAATTAGAAAAAACAAAGAACATCAACTTAAATCTGAATTTGGGACAATCTATGTCATAGAATTTGAAATTTAAGGGAAATAGAAAAAAAGAAAATTGAACATTATACAAGAAAAAAACAAATAAAGAAACTACCATCAATGATTTGTTAAATTTGAAATTCAAATTTGGATCAATTCTTGAGAGGGTAAAAGTGGAATAGTGGATTATATGTGTGTATTTGTAGGGGAAAAAAGAGACAAAAAGCTACGTAGCTGGGAGTGTGTTACATGCACTCCACTTGGAACATCTTACTAGATGTATCTAGGTGTTGAATATTGTTTCCCGGGAATGGAGTAGAGGAAAGGCTTTGGAAAAAAATGAAATTGAAAAGAGAGATTAAAAGACATTGGACTAGATTTTTTATTTATTATTACTAGTGTTTACCCAAAATTCGGGTTACTACTATATAAGTCTCAACCTTGCATCTAACAAGATTAAAAATCAACCACTACAATGTGACTAACCTTAATAGACATGTCAATAACAAGCTCGATCCATTCTCACCATTTAGAAACCCTACTGAGAAACAAATTCTCCAAAAATTAACAAGGCTCCTTAGCGAATAATTGAGGAAAAGAAACTTGCATTTCCTTCAAATTTAAGTTTTGAAACTACGAAACCTTTCTAGTAAGCTTTATATCCACACATGAGACTTACCATGTGAAACATTCTCTAAAGAGTAGCAACTTTACAGTAAAATCAAGCATAAAAATTGCAGACATGACAATGTCAATCAAAATCATAGATTTCAGGCAAACTCATTCCTATATGAGCTCATAACAATAGAAGTTTTCAAAAGGTCATTCATACATGGAAGTAAATGGATCTCAGTCCATAACTTGCAAAAACAAAATTTTTGTATGAAGAATTGTAAGAGCTTTTGACAAATAAATGGCAGGGTAAAAACTTCAAGAGCATTTGCAAGCCTTGTTTGTACAGAGAATGGATTGTTTGGAAATTTAAAAAGACATTTGTTATTTGTTACAAAGAATAAGTGACTGATCACAGCATACTTCCACTCAGTTTGATTTAAACCTTTTCTAAAGAAAGAAACTTAAAGCTAAAGCAGCCAATAATTTTCAGAAAGTTTAAGCAACTTTTAAAACATTGATAGAATAGCTGGCTTGTCATACCCCAAACACTTAATCATTTACAATTGAAGCAACTTCCAAATTATTCAAGGAAAGCATTCACATTAGGAAACAAAAATCGATATAATACTGACAGTAAGAACCTTTCATAAGGAAAATAAAAAGACCATGTTTAAGGTGAAAATACGAGAACAATTTTATAATGAAAAAGAAAAACAAAGAAACACTTTGTAAAGGGAAAGAAGAGCACACTGACATGGCTTATGAGCTACGGCTATCAACTCTATTTTCCTTCTAGTTCTACTTTGATGATTAACCTAACAATAATCCCACACATCAGACGCTGAGGTAATATATCATATGTGGATGTCCTTGTAAGCTTACAGGTGCTTATGAATAAATTAATTAAGTATCAATTCTGATTATGTCCAGCCGATCCTACTAAAACAGCCATCTATCCTTTTCATTTATATCTCGAGTTCCAGAAGCAAAAATGGGATAAATATGAATTAATTACCTTTTTAAGGATTTCGAACCGGAGTTGGTAGTTGCTGTCAAATGTATTCATACCGATGTTGATCAGTTTATGTTACTAAGTTTTAAGAGAAGGGTAAGCAGAGAAAAGAATGGTAACATTAATCAAGGACATGATGCACATACTAGAAAGAAATGAGGTTTCGACGAAAAGAAAATATGAAGAAAATGAGAGAGTTTTTTTTTTTTTTTTCCCCAACAAGAATGAGACATCTTTTGATTTTTGGCTTGTCCTCAAAACAGAATTGTTACCAGATAATGGCAATAGTTTATTTGATGTAATTAAGGTTTTAAAAGGGTAATGAAAAATCAAGGATAATTATGTCATTACAAAATTATATTGATTTTATTACTTTAGACAAATAAATTATCACCCTTCATAAAAAATATTTTAAGGTCATACCCCTTTTAGATTTATAATTAAGTCTAACTAAGTAGCAGTTAACATGTTTTTTCTTTCCTAAAAATTACTTAAACCGTCACTAGAGTTACTGTTCTTACAACTTATTAAGATGATAATCACTTTTGTTGACCGTATCCATTTTAATTTAATTATAGAATAATAATACACACCAAAAAAATTTTATTAGGAAAAGTGATAAGACACGACCACATATATTCATTTTTTATACTATCCATTTATAGTTTATGCATTTATAAGGACATAATTTAGATGATTCAATGATTCATAGTCTTAAATATATATATATATACTAGTGATGTCTGGTCGCGCAATGCGCGACCCTGGCCCAGTCTATCTGTAGATCTTAGAAATGTTTATATTTGAAAAAAATAAAATTTTGTATTTGGAGCGATATATTTTAGAAATGTTTGAAGGATTTAAAAATGTTTTATAAGTGTGATCATACAAATATTTGTATTTCACAAAAAAAAAAAATAAATTGTATTTCGCCATGTATGTTTTAGAAATGTTTTATAAGTGTTACTTATTAAATAAATAGCTTAATCGAATATATGTGTTGAAGTAAATGTTAGATAAAATACAAAAGTATCCTAATAAATTTAAATATTAGTAAGATGATTTATTGACGTTCTCCATCGGTCGTGCCAAATCAATACTTAGTTTTAGAGATTTTTAATAGCTTTGTAATAAGTTTCATCCGAAGGGTATACACTTAAAACAAAATTGACACTTTGTAACAAAAAACCTAACAAAAAAAAATGTGCCACATAAAGTGCAAAGGGAGATTTAGTAATTTAATTATGGTTAGACAAAAGGGTAATTTAGTATTTTCTACATGCCACGTGGCAATCATATGAAGTGTTTGAAAGGGAGGTTTTTGTTTCTAATATAGTAGGACTAGTGATGTCTGGTCGCGCAATGCGCGACCCTGGCCCAGTCTATCTGTAGATTTTAGAAATATTTATATTTGAAAAAAAAATAAAATTTTGTATTTGTAGCGATATATTTTAGAAATGTTTGAAGGATTTAGAAATGTTTTATAAGTGTGATCATAGAAATATTTGTATTTCACACAAAAAAAAAAAAGAAATTGTATTTCGCCATGTATGTTTTAGAAATGTTTTATAAGTGTTACTTATTAAATATAAATAGCTTTAATCGAATAAATGTGTTGAAGTAAATGTTAGATAAAATATAAAAGCATCCTAATAAATTTAAATATTAGTAAGATGATTTACTGATGTTCTCCATTGGTCGTTCCAAATCAATACTTAATTTTGGTGATTTTTAATAGTTTTGTAATAAGCTTCATCCGAAGGGTATACGCTTAAAACAAAGTTGACATTTTGTAACAAAAACCTAATTGATCAATTCAATTTAAAAAACCACTCTAGTTGAATGAAATATAAAGAAAAAAAAAAAAAAAAAAAACGTGTCACGTAAAGTGCAAAGGGAAATTTAGTAATTTAGTTATGGTTAGACAAAAGGCAATTTAGTCTTTCTACGTGCCCGTGAGCGAAACATATGAGGTGTTTGAAAGGGAGGTTTTTGTTTCTAATATAGTAGGATATGTGTGTGTGTGTGTGTGTGTAGAGGGATCGGTAGAATCGTTTTTATCCATTCCGTTAAAACCCATTGGCTCTGTTTCCCGTTTTTACTGTTTAACAGTTAAACCATGTGTAAGCAGTACACATCAACATGGGTTTATTTACAGAGAAAGGATTGGACTTGGACTCTGCGGTACAACACTACAACTAATTTCTTCCCTTTTTATTTTGTTTATCTTTACCCAAAAATTCCCCAATTTTTATTATTCTTATTATTTTTTTTGGGGGTTCAATATCCTAAATTTTAATAATTTTACCTTAACTTTCCATTCTTGTACTTCTCCCTCCCTTATTTCAATCGAACTGAACCATATTTTTTTTTGTTTGGTCCTAATTCATGTTTCTAGGGTTCAAGATCCGGGATTCTTTTTTCTTTTTAAATTGACGATAAATTTTTAAGTTAGTGCAAGTAATGCCCAAATTCTTCTTTTGTTTCTTGCTAACGGTGAAGTGGGTTGTCAGTTAGTTTGCTTTCTTGTGTTGTTTTGTGTTATTATTGAAAAGGGTTTTCCCTTTTGTTTTGTGGGTTGGTGTAAAAATTTGTTCTTTTTTTTGTTTTTAATTTCTGAAATTGGTGATTGAAATTGGTGTGGAGTGAATGTACTATTCTCCTGGGATGGATTATTCGCTGGAAGCGGGTTCAATTTTGATCCCTTATCGGTTTGTTTGGCCTTATGGTGGGAACAGTGTATATCTCTCTGGTTCGTTCAATGGGTAAGGCATTCAAATTTGCTCTGAAAATTTCTGAAATTTCATTCTTTGGGATTTTTCCTGATATGGAATTATGATTGCATAGCTTCTTCTTCCTTTTTCGCCCCCTAATACTGTTTCTTATTCGTTATTTTTCTTCCTCTTGAAGGTGGAATCAATGGCCGATGACTCTAATGGAGGGGTCCCGTACTTGCTTTCAGTCCATTTGTACCTTGCCTCCTGGTTATCATCAGGTTCTGTGTTCTTGCTTTGTTATATTTATGATGAAAGACTCGTGCTTTAATGATTGTGATATCATTGTAACCATAAGAGTACTTAGGACTTCAGCATCAAGACTCTTAATTTGGTAAAAAGATATTTGAATGCTGTATGACTTGCTGTTTCATGCCTTTGATTTATTGAAACAAAACCATGTATAAGAAGAAGATTGTGTATTGATACACCTTGTTGTGAGGTATCCACACTAGTCATATTCTGTTTAGGAATTTCGTTACTTACAATTATAATTTGAATTGATATATAGAGGTCTGAATTTCTTTCCTTTACATATTATAGAAATGAATAAAAAAAATTTCCTAATTGGACCAATTTGCCGGTATATACAATGATTGTGCCGTGGTGGGTATAGTATAGCGATTAGTAACCCTTTCGAGTTGATTCACTTTCTGAGGGGATAATATATAGAATATTCTGAGGGAAAAAAATGCCTTCCTTTATAGAATGCTTACACCTTATACTTCTCAATAATGATTGAAAAAAAATGCAATGTCGTGATTTTTATCCAAAGATCACTTTGAAAATGAGGAAGTGGATTACAAATTGTGGAACATTAGCTGTATTAGAATTTGATTCTTTCTATCTCATCATTTAATTTTCATTAATATCCTCTTATGGCGGAGATATGGATTTCTTTGCCTAGTATTTACATTAACTGTCTTTTAAGTTGATGTCTATGACTTTCTGAATTACATTCTGTATCTTCTGTCAGCTGCCATTTCAACAAAGAAGGTTTCAAAATTTACTCTGTTATTTGTTTGTGTTGTACTTGCAGTATAAGTTTGTTGTTGATGGGGAATGGCGTCATGATCACCAGCAACCACATATCTCCAGTAACTATGGAGTTGTGAACACCATCCTTTTAGCAAGGGAATCAGACTATCCTCCTCCAATGCTCAATCCTCAAATTCCTAATTCCAACATGGACGTCGATAATGAGGCCTTTCAGCGTCTGGTAGGAGATTCTTTTACCATTTCTCTGTAGCTTGGTTACTTTGTCCTGCTTGCTACCTGAGATTTAAGTTTTGACTGTCTAAAAAGAAAAAGGGGAATGATCAGATCATTTATTATTGACTCAATCCAGCAATAGTTGTATCTGTTTTTAGTTTTCTTGCAGTCTTAAGTTGAAGTTCACCTTCTATTAGAAGGTTGCCTTACAAGCAAGCAAAAATAGCATTGTTTGATGTTAACTTTCCTTATAATTATCTCCATGTTTCTACTTTGCACCTTTTGTTCTTGTTTCATATCTTCTTCCTGGTGTGTGCTTTGCAATTAATTCTGTCTGATGCTTTTTTTTATCTTTTTGTCTTTTTGAGTAGCAGGTTACAGTATCAGATGGTGGAATATCAGAAGCTGACTTGGATTTGACTCGCCGCCGTATTTCAGATTTTTTGTCTTCACATACTGCTTACGACTTACTTCCGCAGTCAGGAAAGGTGATGGTTTGCTATAAACTTCAATAGCTGCATTTGCCAGGATGTTGGTTTCCTTCCTCAATTGAATGAGATTGTGGGTCTGCAGATTATTGCTCTGGATGTTGATTTACCGGTGAAGCAAGCATTTCATATTTTGCATGAGCAGGTACTACCTTTATGCTAAGAATTGCACTATCTTCGATTTATTTTAGTATCTGGGATGGGATCACATTCCTTTTTCTTGCAATGCATTGTTACAGTTCCACCGTGCCCTTTATGTCAACTCGTACGTTAATATATCTTTGATGATGTGATTTTCTGCGCCTGTCTTGTAATAATTTCAGGGAATTCCTATGGCTCCTCTATGGGATTACTGCCGGGGACGATTTGTCGGTATCATAAGTGCTCTAGATTTCATCTTAATCATGAAAGAGGTGCCTGATATTCTATCTTCCCTTATCTTATTGTGAGAGGAACACTGAATTTGTCTCTTTCTTGTAGTTTTTTAATTAGATCTTGTAGCCAATTAGGTAGAGAGGAGGAAGCTGTTGTGGATTGTGAAAAACTTTATATTTTACAGCCAATATATTAGAATGTCTTCTAGTGAAGCATTATAACATTGTATCATTCTTTTTTTCTGCTTCAGAAGCATAGTTAGGGAAATTGATTTGTGAACAGTTTGACTTTTGGTTCCTTTGAGTGATTTTAGGTATTTGTTTCATCAGATAATTGCATTTTGTGCAGATCTGAGAACTGTTTAACTGTACCTTGCGTGTGATTACTAACCTAACTATTGGAAGTTTAAATCTGATAGAATGGTTGGTCTTAAATTTGCAGCTTGGAAACCATGGATCTAACCTGACCGAGGAAGAGCTTGAAACACACACTATATCTGCTTGGAAAGAAGCCAAGTCATACATGAAAAGACAAATCAATGACTCTGCGAGATCAGGCCCCAGACAACTTGTGCATGTGAGTGACTGACTAATTTTAGATTTGTTGCCAATTGGTTTATTGATGTGATAACTTTGACTTGGTGTCATTTATTCTCATTTTCGACATGCTTGTACCTTTGCTTAGTCACACTAATAGATAAATGGCTGTAGTGAAAGCGTAGTGGTATGTAGTATTTATTTTCCTCCCATATGCTGCCTTTTAAATTTTTCTTCCCATTTATGGGTGGATGAGCTTGTTGGATTTCTGTGTCCCCGTCATTCAAAACCCTTTATCATTCATATAGGGCTCACCTTCCATGCTTGCTCTCAATATTCCTTGTTCGTGACAAGAATGTGTTTGTGTGTGCAGGCTGGACCTGATGACAATATGAAAGAAGTTGCCTTGAAGATTTTACAAAATAGGGTTGCTACAGTTCCCATCCTTCACTCCAACTCTTCTGATGGAGCATACCCGCAGTTGTTGCACCTCGCTTCACTTTCTGACATACTAAAGAGTGGGTTAATAAACTCTGAAACCATAATTACTCTTATTTATGTATATGTTTATTGGCTGATGCATTTCCCTTGACAGGCATTTGCAGGTATTTCAGATATTCTTTAAGCTCATTGCCTGCTCTGCAACTGCCAGTTTCTACCATATCAATGGGAACTTGGGTTCCAAAGATTGGAGATTCATCTCGGCGGCCATTGGCTATGCTGAGACCTAATGCTTCCCTTAGTGCAGCTCTAAACTTATTAGTTCAAGGTATTTTTGCATTTCCGTTATTAAAAACCATATTGAATTACTAATAATTTATCTGAATAAGAATCTAACAGAGAGAAAGGTATTATGATTAAATACAGAAGCCAGTAGAGGTTTTCAGCAATTCACGTGTATTTGTTTATTGTCTCTTGCAGCTGAGGTTAGTTCGATTCCCATTGTTGATGATAATGACTCCTTATTGGATGTATATTCGCGTAGGTAAGTGGTGTTATCATGGCTCTTTTTCGAGGAAAATTGAAATATATTTTCTTATTCTTTTAAGAAGTTTGCCATGTCAAATTCTACTGTATTTCCTACCCAGAATGCTAATTATGTTTTATTTTGCATGTTTGGCAGTGATATTACAGCTTTGGCAAAGGACAAACTTTATGCGCATATCAATCTTGAGGAGACTACTATTCATCAGGTCAGTACATGCATGGGAATCTGGTGGCTTTCAGTTAATTATTTGTCTTTTTGTTCTGGTGTTGAGTTTCCAAGAAGGATGGTAAACTTCTAATGATCAATGCTCTGTATGAGACGTTACTATAAGTGCACCATTTATTTTTGTAGACTTTCTTGGTTTCTCTGGCTCTAAAAGTACCTTTGCTTCTCTTGACTGTATGGATTTATACTGCCTTGAACTTAAGCAAGAAGTTTTGGATTAGTTGACATTTGAGTTGTTGCTTTTGTTAATTGTTGGTTATCCTTTATATGAAACTGAAGTACAGTTGTCACTGCCGATTTTTATGTCCTAAACTCTGCTTAAATTTTTCTTTGGTAAAAAAAGTGCTTGTGAGATTAAATTATTGGAAGCGAATCAAGTTTAGGGTTGGTAATTTGCAGTATTTTCAGATTATCCTTTCTTTACGGAGTTGAATGTTTGATACGGCATTTACCTGCAAACAAATTGCAAAATTTCACATCATTAATTTCTTCTTTTCTTCCGAATATTATATGGTGATCATTAGGCCTTACAACTTGGTGAAGAACCATATTCCCCGTATGCAGTGAGCCAGGAAAGATGTCACATGTGTTTGCCAAGTGATCCGGTGCTTAAAATCATGGAAAGATTGTGCAGACCAGGTTATTATTGTCCTAGTTTGTAGTCTCTAGTACTTATTTTGGTTATGCCGATGTTGCGAAGCATCACGACACGACACTTGTTTTTTTTTAGTTTCTCTACCAGCAAACACTTGATGTTAAGGCCTTCTCTGATACTGTTATCCATTGTTTTAGGGGTAAGACGGGTTATCATCGTGGAGGCTGGAAGCAAACGCGTAGAAGGTATCATCACGCTAAGCGATGTTTTCAGGTTTCTGCTTGGGTAGTTAACAGAAGATCACATTGGATCGCGCGGTGGGCATTCAAGGGTTACTTAATCTGACACCATCAAATCTCTACACAAAGCAAGGAGAGTTGAAGCTGTTGTGAATTTTATGTCTATTCTTTCATACATACAATTGGTGGATGGCCTTAGGGATTTCATGGCCTGGCATTTTTAGGTTTAGTGAGATAGTAAAAACCGAGGAGGAGGCGGCTGCAAATTGTAGAAGTTTGCTAAAGAATCTTGTAGCCACCCTTTTACAAATTGTTCATTTGCGCCCCCTAAATTATGCCAAAGCTAGGTTGTCAGTTTAGTCGACCAAAGATGTGGGATAAATAAACGATAATCTATTTGATGATATTTGGTTGACAATTTGACATATGTCCATTGTTGTTTTTTTTTTTTTACCCTTTGTTTCTCTACCAAACAATGTTTAATCCATGGTCTTTTATATTAGCTGCAAACTGATTAGTTGATCTCATTTCTTTACATCATTGTGTCTTTTGTAATCTTATTATGTTGTGATCCAAAGCTATTTTGTAAGCGTTGTAATCTTCGGAATTCGAACCAACATAATCCAATTTAACATACATGTTGCTCGATTTCATGTCGTGTTACATTGTTTCCTCAATTCAACTTTACTCGCATGAAAAAAAAAAAGAGAAGAGACACACTCAAGCTACCAATTTTACATGATGTTTGTATTACTTCCAGAACCAAATGTCTACCGACATCTTTATATGATTCTATGATGGTATCATGTATATATAATTTTTTTGAGTCCATATGATAAACCAACTTAGAAAAAAAAAAAAAAAAGGAATCATTAATCCTGGTAAGTATTCAATCCATTTATAAATCTGTAAAGGATCGACTAAATAATTTTTGGAAATTCAACGTCAATTCAAAAACCATCAAATTCTAGTTGGATTCCTTGATCCATCATGGATTCAAAAAACTTTCCTATTTTACTTAGAAAAACGTTGGGTTAATTTGATGCCTATATATATATTGCTAGTACCATAGCTCCTGTTACATCTGTTTTCGTTCACCAGTTTTCCTCAGGCCAAAACAATCTATAAGAAAAACCCTTTCTTTCAATCAGTTTTAGATTTCTCTGTATTCCTAAGCATAATATTTGATCAAATATCATGTGGCGGAAGTTGGAGAAACTAGGTTCGGGTGGTTACGGCACTGTTTATTACGCCGAGAAAGATGACAACGCAGCCAGCTCCTGGTGGAAGCCGTCTATCAAGGCGGCGGTGAAGGCGGCGCCGGATTACGAATCCGACAGCCTCCGTAGAGAAGCCGTGTTCCTGAAGAAACTCAAAGGGAATCCGTACTTCATCCAGGGTTACGGCGAAGACCTGAGCCTGGGCGAAGAAGAAGGCGAATACACGTACAATCTATTTCTAGAGTACGCGTCAGGAGGCACGCTGAAAGACCTGATCCGCAGTTACGCCGTGGACCAAGGTTCCGTGCCGGAATCTCACGCCGCGTACTACGCGTACCTGTTGCTCAGGGCGCTCTCTTACCTGCATCGCAACGGAATCATTCACTGCGACGTTAAACCTGACAATGTTCTTGTATTCCCCACGAATAACGGGCCGTTTATGAACCACATTAAACTTGCTGATTTCGGGATGAGTAAGCTCGGGATGGATGATGACATGGAAGACGCTATTCCGGGGACGTCTTATTACGCGTCCCCAGAAGGGGTACAAGGCACGTCCGCGGATATATGGTCGTTCGGGTGCACTGTTCTTGAGATGTTAAACGGCGGAGAAGATATTTGGGACGACGACGACGACGACGATCAATTTTTACCGGTGCCTCAGATACCTGGATCCGTATCTGAAACCGCAAAGGATTTCTTGGAAAAATGCTTCCGACGTGTGGATGGGAGATGGAGTGCTGAGAGGCTTCTGAAACATCCCTTCATTCAAAGCATCATCACAATGATTCCTCCTCCAGGGTTTGAGCTCAAGAATCTAGAGAGCTCCAATGTTGATCCTTTTGGTTCTTCATGGAGTGTTACACAAGGACTTCTATCCTAAGAACTATAGCATCATAATAATTTGTAATAGTTTAGATCATGTTTAATTAATTATACAAGTAAAAGAAGTCTACCTTGGTTATTTCTTTTATGTATGGTTTTACGGGCAAGTTAGGTAACAACTGATCTTTTGTATTGTGATTGACAAACTACTAAGAAGTATGTTGAAATATTATTATTAGTGATCACGGTTGCTGTAAAACAATAAAATATAAAAGTAACTTTTTGATTTGAGCCTTCTTATAAATGTTTTATTATTCTTTCTCAAAAAAAAATTAAGCATATTCCTTTTGAATATTTGTCTTACTGTACCATTGTATGCTATGCGGTACAATTAGTGCACTAAATATATGTGCACGACATGAACCGTGTGTAAACTGTGAAGGCATTCGCAATAATAGAAAAAATTAGTCCAAATGTTAACATTACAAAAACGATTTCCTTGCCAAGAAAAAGTAATTGCAATGATCTAATACAATTATAGGCTAAATTATGCATTTCTATTATATCTTGATGTCTCACTTTAGTCCGTGTACAAAAGGTAAAAGAAGAAATTAAGGTCTATAAAAGTAAAAGGACTTCTTGTGATTCGGATGGCATCTGATGAAATTCAAGGTTGCATGACAGGACCTCACAATTCGTAAATACCTGAATTCGAGTAAGACCAAGATTTGTCATTTTCTGCAAGGCCCATAGACATGTTCTGGCCTCGGTTTGTAGCGGTGAAAGGGCATTAATGCTGACCGTTTTAACTTGCATAACCATCCCATGTAGAGATAGAATTTTCCAGACTCCAACAGCTTTCCGTGTTTGATGACTATAAGATCCATAAAAAAATTACCAAAGCTGTGTCGGTCAGTCCTTTTATCAATTTCATCTTGTCAAAGCTATGTTTGATTCTCTATTCAATACAGCATTCCGCAATGCAAGAAAATGCTATGCTTTTTCACCTTCTTTTGCTCGTTTTTATCAACCATTTTCATCATCACCATCAATTTTCTCTCAAAGGATTCAAGTAATGAGCAATCTGTAGTAGTTTCTTATCTCGGGTCCTTGATGTTCTAATGTGAGCAGTGACATTTTGTTCTAACCATAGCTTGACTATTCTGACTCTGTTCATAATTTTCTTTCCCTTTTGGCTTCGCATAACCAATGTTCTTTGAGAATGGATGTAAAGTCAATAATATAAAGACACTGGCTAATCATCTGAGATCAACCCTGAGGCACCTATCGATTGGAGTTTCAAAGGTAAATTCAAAATGTCTATGTATAAAATGTCAAATATCATGAAGTACCAACCGAAGTCAATACCTTGTACAGATTAAGTTAGACCATTGGTGTTACAAAAGTAAACCAAACAAGAGTACAACCCAGGACATTGTTGTAGAAACAGTGAGATTTGTAAGGAGATACAACAGAACATAGAAGAGAAGTGTGGCATAATAAACCTCGCATCTTCATAATTCAACTACTTGTAAGAAAAAAAAAAAAAAAAAAAAAAAGATGTCACTAAGACAAAACGTGTTCGTTCCAGCTACTTAAATGATGAAAACTAGCCCCAAAAAGGAGATTCATCTCAATTTCCAATCATGTGACGCCTTCTAATCTCCCCTCCAACTGACTACCGAATTCTGTAAAAAATCAGATCCGGTCCTAGATAACTGTCAACTTCTTGTTAGCTATAGCTGCTCCAAATTGGAGTGCTTCAATTTCTGCAAAAGAAGGTAGAAAGAAGGATGAAAATAAGGAAATCAACAGAACACTTGAGACAGGTGGCCAATCAATGCAGTACCTTTTGCTTTTTGCTTTTCTTTTTTTCTGACTTGTTTAGCTTCTTCTTCTTCTTCTTCCGTTTTTTCGAAACAGAAATCTTAAGCTCCTCTTCTGCAGACTCCTGCAGCGGTACCCAACAAGTAATAAGTTAATTACTAAAGAGATACAAGATTTCATTCTCAAGTGCAACTTTTTAGAAATTGGTAAACTTTTTTTCAAGCAAATGCAGTTGGAAATCACCTCTGAGTCCCGGAAAGAATCAACGTGATGTATTGTCCTTCCTGAAGTAGAAGTACCACCTAAATTTTCATCCAAAATGGATAAAAGACAAAGATGAGACACAACTCATATAGGCAACAAAAGAGATCATAATGCAAAAGATAATAAATGATCTACGCCTAGTTGCACATTAGGATTTTGCACTGCAGCTACTTCATTCTACTAACGACATGAAACTGAGCCATTCTGCAAAGAACCTATTCATCTGCTGCTGCATGAATTGAAGTGCAGCCAAAAGATTTTAAACTATCAAAAGTTTGAAAGATAGGTACTAGTAGAAGACACTCGTGTTACCTCTCTACCTCCCTAAAGAAGAAAAGAACAAAAAGAAACAATAGTTTCCCTACAGGAAAATCAGGGGAATCGATTACTATATAAAAGAGCCACCATAGGATGTATGTAGAGATGCCTAACTTCAGCAATCAATGTGAATATTCATGCAATTATACATCACTCCCAAGATATTCTAATTCCAAAGCCACTGCCAACTCAAGCTGAATCAGAGGCTCAAATGCCTCTTACCTACAGTGGTTACGGCCGTGAAAACTACAAACCTATCTACCATTCTTAGTTCATTTCATACCAAACAACACTAAGCATAGTATCAAACAACACTAAGCATACTATCGCTCGACATTAAAGCTCCCTATTGATCTCGGAAAACATTATCCACAGATAGTCAAAGACACTCCACGAGATAATTCACTCTGATGAGAAATACACTTTCTAAAGTGCGTATATCTAAATTACGGCAATAAGGGCATACTCTTAGCATCGAACAGCAAAACGACTCATGAAACATGGTAAAAAACATACCTATATGAAAATCAAATGGTAATGAGAAGCCAAAACGTACTTGAATTGACTGTTTCTTTAGCATTCCGAACAGCTAACTCAACAAGTCTAGGATCAACAGAGGCCAACCCGTTTGGTTCCTGCAATTTCCTCTCCAAGAATTTGGCCAATGCCGCTGCTTTGTTCGTCTTCATTGGCCCACCTGGATGCGCCAACCTAAACCAAGAATCGGCGGCCATCAGATAATAATCAAATCTTCGATAAAAGAAATTAAAAACAAATGAAAACTTCAATTGATTCAAGAAAGAAGAAACCAACCTAGGTTGATGACGGGGTGGCGGAGCAGACGGAAGCGGAGCGAATTTACTCCCTCGCAGGGCTTTTTTCTCTTCTTCCGAAAGCCCTTCCATCTCTCTATCCAGAGGTGGCGGCGGCGCCGGCAAGGGTTTGGGGAGCTGTATTAATTAATTAGGAACTGTAATCTTTTGGATTTTTGCTTAGCAGGGAAAGGAACGGACGTCGCCGGAGTCAACCCCGGGATGCTAGAAACGGAGCGGCGGAGCCGGCTTGAGCAACGGCGTCGTGCTAATTTTGAACTTCCTTCCCACGGTCAGACGAAGAAGAGAAAGATTAAATCATAGCAAGAATTGCACCAAACCTCCCGAAAGTTTTAAACTTTATGATTTAATCCCTGATAGAAGGACAACATTAATCATTTAAGAAAAATATATGTACTTATAATCATATGTTATTCACATTTTTTCACATGAAATACAACAAAGATGAACCATCACATAAATCAGTTCTGCATAAGCATAAATCCAGCTTTATTACCAATGTTTTTTTAACTCCAAAATAAAAAGATAAATCTGTTCTTTGTTATATCCTCGTGAAATAAAGAAGAAACAATAAAAATGGACTTACTATACTACAAATATAAGTTCTACGTAAATATTTTTGAAAAGCTACAATTATAACATTTTAATTTGTACTTCAAGAATTTAAAAATATTTCAAAGCACCAGTCCTCCTTGGATAGCTTCACATAGTTCCTTCTCTGGAATGAGTTGAAAACATTTGTTTAAGAAATGTTTTCCAATTTCATGTATATATTCAGGGGCTTAAAGAATCTATTTCTTCCGTCTTAAACTGATTATTGTATTATTTTAAAATAATAAATCTGATAATCATTTTGAAACGGCAGAGAATTGTCTTTGCACCAAAAATGTAAAAATATTTTGGTGGGAATATTGCTATTTCCCTAATTTTTTTATTTGATTAAACACTGACTCGAACTAGATGAATTAAATATAAATAAATTAAAAGGGCACGCATGCTAGGGAATTGAGATGTTACGTCAGGTCGAACTGTCGAAGGGTTAGCAAGCTGAAAGGCGTGGTTTGGCAATTTATGGACCACTCGTAATTTCCTTTTAAGAGAGGAGAGCACAGAGAAAGGCGTGGTTTAAATCGCCAAGGCTTTATGTTGGGAAAATTACAGCTCCAACTAGAATGATATAGAAGAAGCTCATTTGTAAGAATTTGGCTTCCAACTTTAGTACTTCATCAGTGGAATCATTAGGTAACACGAATTCGGTGCAAAAACTGAAGTTCATAATGCCTTAAAATTCATTCCGCAAAGCAATTTAAACAAAATGATGCTAAAATCTCTTACATTCAACCCACAAAAACAAGTAGGCACAAAACTTTCTCCTTACAAATAATGAAAGCGAAAACACAATCTGATGGCTATTCAACCAAATCTGAAACTGAGCAGCCGAAAGCGTGAAACACTGTTTTGTTAAATGCTGTTACTGTGCTCATTACTAAGCGAAAAACTGTACTGAAACACACCACCACCACCAACCCACCGAAACAAAAACCAAACACAAAGAAGACAGCATCTGATGATATGAGGACCCTTATTTCTACCTGAGAACTTCAGTATCTTACTGTTCTTTAGCCAACAACATGGATGCTAAGGTAAACATCTCTAACCAGAACAGGATATGGCATTTCAATACAGTTGAAATTTGACTGTTTTTAGATAAAGGTCACAAAGACTATAGCAAGTAAAAGGATTCAGAAAGAAACAGCTACCACAGGTTGCCCTCCGGCTTTCCAGCATTCTAAAGTGAGTTGCATATCTTTCGGCAAGGTATTAGGCCATTATTTGGTCCTTCTTTTAAATAGAGGTCACAATGATTGGAAAAGAAAAAAGAAAAATAACATCCCAGTTGCCCAACACTACGTTGTTTCCCTGTGCCACTCAATTTAATAGCACAATGCCAACCTCTCAAATGCTGCTATTAAATATTTCCGGAGGGTTCTTTACAGTTCTTGTTGCAAAGAACTCAAACATGGAACTACAGCAATGAAATGTACAGTTGCATGATTGAACTATAAAATAAAGAGTATGCTAGATTGCAATATCCATTCAGACAATGTTTTTGAATACATCTCCTAAGAGAAAAAATGAAAATCCGGTTACTCCTATGACAAAACATGATACACATGATAATACCAGTGCAGTTGAAATATGACAATTGTTTGTTAAAGTTGAGAAATGCTATAAAATATTCTAAACTAACCTCAACAACCTCTGCTGATCCCTACATCCAAGGATTGGAAGTGACCAGCCCATGCAAACAAGTGTTTTTTGGAGCAAACTGTACACTATTGTTCCAAATCAAGCATTCTAGAAGTTGAATTTTGAGGCAGTAACAGCAACCAGTAGACAACATACATAATTCTAGTGCTATACAATCACAAATGCTTAAGGGAATATAACTAGGTTAATATTTGCCCTTGATATCATTACGTAAAGGAGGCCATGCATGGTACATTTGTTTCGTGGACTTTATGACGCTTTCTTCAAATATGCAAGACAAAAAAGTGGTTGGTGAATGGGTTAGATTACAACTACTTTTCCAGAAAACGTCATTCTGCATAGAGTGAGTAGCACAAAACTAGAAACAATACAAGCATAGAGCTCTGAATCAACTAACCTCTTCATAAAATGATGTCCGAAAGTGACAAAAAACTTAAACAGGAACAGAGAACATCCAATCACTCTATTTCAAACGTAATAGGTGTTCTCATACTTGAATAGTCTTAATTGCACAAGACCCAGAGATCCGAGTTTCCTTGTATACTTTTAACAGCTCCACGACATCATCCTTAAAGCATTCTATGAATTCCTCGAGGAACTTCTGCTCACCCAGCAGCAGCAACCTAGCTAACGCCGTGTTCCTCCAAGTAACCAATCCTTTCTTAACAAGCAAAGCATACACTGTACATCTTGGAATTATTCTTTCCTTCACACTCAGTGAGAACAATGTCGGTGCCCTGAATACATCCAATGGATCAAAACCCATCTTATCAACCAAAAACTCCATGATATCCGCGATTTTCTCTCCAGATACAGTCATACACGCTGGATGCTTCGCAAAAGCAAGTAGGACCTCATCCTCACTGCAACCCCATCTTTTATAAACAGCCAATTTCTCTTCCCAAATCTCAGGGCTTAATGTTGCCATTGCGCTTAAACATCGAACATATATCATAGTTTGAGTATCAATGCCGAGATCCTCTAGTCTCTGAGCAGACTCCTTCACTTTAGCTGATTTTAGAAGCAGAAATTTTGGCAGGCGTCTCACAGCTTTCTGGATATTGGGTTCAGGAACTCCTAACTCTCTCAAAAGCTCAATATTAGCTAACAACAATCTCCGATTAGTCGTCAGAAGAATTTCAGGACACTTGAGCACACATTGCACCACGTATTCATTAGAAACCAAAAATCTTTGCAGGAAATTTACACCCGGGATAATCTGGGATTGCAAACTTCTAGTAAGTGGGGCTACCCTTGAACCTAGCAACTTAGAGATATCTTCATCTGGGAATCCCACAGATTTTAAAAACTCAATCTTGGGCAAAATGGTCTTCTCTGGGCTAGACAAAAGGATCCTAGGATACTTCAAAATGACAGATGCGATTTGATTCACACTCATTCCGTGCTTCCTGAGCAATGCAAGAACTGAATCCGGTCTATCAGGGGCCTCCAAAGTTACAAACTTGGAAAGCGAAAGGGCTTGCTTTTCGGAAAAAGAACATGATTCCGTAAGGTAATTCACAGTAAATTCATCTGGGTTTGCATTGGTTGCACCATTTGAGGCCGTTTTTCCGATGGTTTGTATTGACGAGAAGGATGAAGAAGGGTTCCACCGGAAAAACTGAAATTTTTCATCAATGGCTGCCTTTCTTAACGAAGATTTCTGACAAGTGGAGAGTAATCTGCTGTTTCTGCTAATGAATCTAAACATTTTCAACTTCTTCTAACTCTATTGAAAACAAGTAATCGGTTACTAACCTTAAATTCGAGCGGAATTGCCAGGAATTTCATACCGGTCTCTCCTCCCCGGCGCTGTTAAACCCTATGGGCTATTGGGAAAGAGCTATAAACCCAGAAACCCGAATGCGTCTAATTATATTTAGATCCCCTGATGTTTTGATTTATTACAGTTAGACCCTTGAGTTCTAGTAAATTAAACTTCATATTATAGGGTCGTAAAATAAAATCTTCACACATTAATTAAGAGAAGGGATGGAATATTGGAATGAAGTCAACAACTTAACATAGTGAGAATGGAAGAATTAGATTATACTTTTACTAATCTAAGAGTTAAGGAAAATCCTAAGAGTAAAACCATGGATTAGGCATGATGTACTCAATATTGCACACCCCGCTTGTGTAATACTCCCTCCATCCCATAATTATTGTCTAGTTTAGATTTTCATTTTTAATTCAAATTGTACTAAAAGTGAAATCTCAAAGTGGATAATAATTTTGGGACAGTCCTAATTCGGCTATTAGCCTCCTTCTTTGTACCAAAAAAAAAAAAAAAATCCTACAAGTTGGTCTTTTGCAAAATCTATAAAAATGGTGGACGTGAGAATGACACGGTTTTCATGAAAATTTCAAATGATAGGAGAATTTGAGCTCTTTTCTTTATTTTTTTTTTATTTTTTGGTTTTTAGAATTTGAACTCTTCGAATTCATCCACCTTTTTTTAAGATTTGTTTTTGGGCTAATAATCCAGATGTTTAACAGCTTTATTTTCTGTTGCTAGTTTAATTAAACCTTTATCGAAGGGTTCACTATAACCGGGACTCCAAAAAACTGGGAAAGGTGATCTAATCTGCCTTAATAAGATCTTCTTATGATGATCCTGCAAGGCTGCAACTGGACTGAGTAAATGTGATCTTTGAGAAAAATCTCTAATTTGATGGGGAGAGTGCCTGCAAATAGTGACCAAATGAGAGTGCTACTGAGATATTACTAAAGTTGAACAATCCCAAACACCAATTGTCAAGATTCTACAATTATAAGAGGGTAATTCCAAAGAGCCAAAGATCCAACTCAATGATGAAGAAACCTCCTTCAAAATTCATTTGGTATCTAATACCATACCAAAGGACACAACCAATGAACATCCTACGCTCTAGATAGACTTCCAAGCATCGGATAAACCGAAGGGTTGTCCATGACGAATAACATACTATTAAACTTAGCACCATTGTCAAAAAGCACAGAAGTGCACCAGATATGAAAAAGATTTCATCGAGTATCAAGTGAATCTAGTTTTAACTTTGTTTCACCGTCCTCCACCATTGACCAGTTTCAGAGTTGTTGATTCTCCTGATAAATTTTCAAGAGCTCCGGAGCTTCTTCGCTAAAGCGTTCAACATATCTGATAAGGAACTTCTGCTCTGTGCATACCAGGAAATTTGCCAAGCAACGATCTTTGCTGACTAAGCCTTTAGCCAAGAGAACTCGATACACAGCACACCTTGGAACAAGTATTTTCTTCAAACTAAATGAAAATACACTAGGCACGTTCAGTACGGCAGATGCATCATAACCCATCTCGTTGACAAAAATATTCATAACACCCATGACTTTAGCCTCTGATGCTGCCATAACGCATGTGTGCCTCTTAAAAGCCTCCAGAACCTGATCCTCTGAACACCCCCATCTCCCATACACTGCGACTTTTTGTTTCCATACTGGAGGATACATCGATGACATTCGCCACAAACATTTAACAAAACTCCTATCGATAGGATTAAGCCCCATTTTCTCAAGCTCTTTTCCTAACTCTTTCAATAGCTCAGGTGGCTTCAGGAATACTCTTGGCTGATCTCTTAGCATATTAACAATGTAGGTTTCAGGAACTCTCATATTCCTCAAAATCTCAATGTTGGCTGCCATATATTTCTGAAATCGCAATGTAAGCATATCGGGTAACCGCACCAGACCACATGCCAAATCTTCGTATGATTTAAACACATCCAAAAGGGCTTTGCCAGATGGAATAATCTGTTTATCCAAACTTCTACATATCAAATTCCTCGAGCTAAGAACCTTGGAAACGTCTACATCTTTTAATCCTAAAGATCTCAAATACTCAATCTTGGGCAAAATGCTCTTCTCAGGCCGGCATACAAGAACTCTGGGATATTTTCTAACAAGTGCATAAATATGATCATCCTTAAATCCATTATTTTTTAGCACTGCAAGAACTGAATCCGGCTTATCTGAGGTTTCAAATTTGAGATGTTTGGAAGCTGAAATTGCTGTTTTCTCAGAAAAATCAAATCTTTTTACAAGGTAATCAACAGCAAACGAGCTTTGTTTCTCATCACTACCATTAACACTTGAAAGGGATTTGCTTTGAGTCTTTACAGCTACAGATGCAGAGGAAAATGGGCTGATTTGAATCAGGAAGAATTTAACGGCTACTGAACTTCTAAACGAAGATTCCCCATTCTTGCACACGAATTTCAGCATAATGAAAAATCAGCAAAAACAAGGAAGATTGGATTGTTAACTCACCGTTTCAAAGCTCTCGGTTTGTTTGATTGAGGAGCTTCAATTCATTCTTGAAGATGGAAAAATGGCCCATCAATTCTATTACAGAGCCCAGGCGGCGGAACCCTAGTCAAGGGACGACTCCTCCACAAGAAGCGTCGAAAAGAAATCGTTTTTTGTCGCCTTCTTCTTTTATTTATTTCTTCATTTCTTTCATCCCCGTGCTCTTTTTTTAGGGTGTTAGTTTTTTAAGCCACCATCTTTATTACTTAAAGTCACCATAAATTTTTTTGGACCATTTTGCCCCTCACATTTCAAACTTTCACCAAAGGAAAAAAGAGAGAAAACTTGAAGCCACCACCCTTCTAAATCCCATTTTGAAGTCTAATTTGGTGAAAAATTGATGGCAACACGGAAGAATCAAAACAGGAAAGAGCCGATCTCATTACGCCGCCGCCGCCGGACGGGCAATGAAGCCGTCAGTGCACGGCCAAGAGCGCAGCAACGCGTCCCGGTTCAACCGAACAGGCGGTTTGCTCGTTAGAGTTGAGCCGGGGCGTTGCTTGCGCGTCGTCTTCGCCGCGCCGGCCGGCTTCATCGCCGTCCGTGGCGATTGCAATTTTTTTTTAATTTGTTTAATTACAATGTAATTATGTTTTAATTATGTTTGATTTAATGTAATTAGGGTTAGTAAGTAATTTTTTATTATTTAATAGTTTGTGATTTAGATTGGTTACTTAATTTAATTGTGTAAATAATTTAATTTGATTAATAATAGATTAGTTCTTTAATTAGTTTGATTGATGTACTTATTAATTTAAATAGTTATTAAAGTATTTAGGTTATATTTTTAACTAAGTTATTAGTAGATTAGTAAAGTTAATCATTTGAATTGATTAAATTAATTTAAATAGTATGTAAATTAGTTGAATGAGAAAACTAATTTAATTAATAGTAGATTAGTTCAGTACCTAATTAGGTTAATTGATTTACATTATTTTAATTAGTTATGAAAGCAATTAGGTTATATTTTTAATTTAATTATTAGTAGATTAGTAAAGTTAATCATTTGAATTGATTAAATTAATTTAAATAGTATGTAAATTAGTTGAATGAGAAAACTAATTTAATTAATAGTAGATTAGTTCAGTACCAAATTAGTTTAATTGATTTACTCATTATTTTAATTAGTTATGAAAGCAATTAGGTTACATTTTTAATTTAATTATTAGTAGATTAGTAAAGTTACTCATTTTGATTGATTAAATAAATTTAAATAGTATGTAAATTAGTTGAATATTAAAAACAAATTTCATTAATAGTAATAGTAGATTAGTAAATCTAATTTAAATTGTGTGTAAAGTAGTTAATGATTAATTAAATTAATATAAATATTTTACAAAATAGTTGAGTATTTTTAATTAATTAAATAGTAATTTAATTTAAAATTTGGTAAAGTACTTTAGTTTACTTAATTATTATATGAATTGTACTAAATTATTAAACTATTTAGGATTTAGGATATGTGTATAATTATTTGTTTAGACTATGAAAATATGATGACGATGAATAAAATTTTGTTTATAGGTTTATGGTGATGATGATGAAAATATATTATAATAAATATAACTTCTAATATAATGGAATAGAACTTACCGTATTTCGGTTAGCTGACTCTGAATTTCCAAGTGCACCTTAGCCCAAAGTGTATCCAGGGACGCCGTGGATGTTTCGGCCGAGTTTTTAAGCGCTTGCGCGCTTTTCACACTACCTGTAGTAGTGTTGCCCATATGAAACACAGCATTCGTCCATGCCTTGACGAATTTGTAGTCAACCACTAGCCATGTCTTCTGGATATAAGTAAGAACTCTCGGAAAAGACTGCCAACAACGGATTATTACGGCAACAGCTTTATTGTACTCACCCTGGTTATTAGCTTCCACAACGTCTTTCCACAACCCATATGTAAAACCATTTGCAATCTTGGCATCAATTTTCAATTCCTTGTTGAGATGTCGCTTTCCATTCTCATAAACGTGTCAAACACACAACAAGTGGCATGAATCTGGAAATACCATACCCAGCGGCGCCATCAACCCCGGTTCCCGATAGGTAACAATAACAGCTGGAGACAGATGACCAGGTAGCAAATCCCTTAACTGTCTCAAAGCCCAATAATAACTGTCAGCAGTCTCGTCACTCAAGAGGGCGTATGCAATCAGGAAGTTCTGGTTGCACGGAGTCATCCCAATAAACTCAACCAACGGCATTTTGTACTTGTTCGTCTTGTATGTTGAGTCTATCCCGACGACCCATAAATAACTGCAAAATAAATTGACAGCATCAGGATGTGCAAAAAATACACGAGTCAACACACCTGTCTCCTGATTGCAATCTGTCATGATGATGTAACCATGATGCTTGGCCACCGCTAGTGTCTTCGTCGCGACATCCATGGCACTTGATTCACCCAGCACCGGGAACCCCTCATTAAGCAATTTCTTCCTGAAATTGTACACTTGCCGTCTGTTAACTTTTTCATCAGGAAAGATCCTCTGAATCGCAGCCATGATCTGAAACGGTCTGCACCCATCTTTGGACATACCCTGTATAAGCTGTTTCACTCCATCGCTAAGGCCCCTCGTGGGATGATCTTCGTCAAACAGGTCGTGGTTATGCATTCCAAACTCACCAGGATACACCCGAATGCGCCACTTCCCATCCACTGAGTGCACATATAACTTAAATTTACACCCAATGTTCTGTGTCTTCGAGTCTGATGTGACATAGTATTCACCATCATCAACTGACACCTTTCCCCCTTTACAGCATCTCATCAGAACAGCATTCTTCTTCTTACTGGAAACTACATTTATAATCATACCATTTGCCATGCCCATGCCTTTCACCCAAGCAACAGCATCATCCTTGTTTGCAAATTCCTCATCTGTAGCAAATAATATACTGTAATCTTGACCATCGCCACCAAAATCTTCTAAAGAATCCTGCAAATTAAACATAAAATTACAACAATAAAAAACTGTATCATAATAAATTAAATTAAACACATATTCCAATAATTTAAAAAAGTTAAACAATTATAATAAATAATAAAAAAAACATATATTTACAGTAAATAGATTAATTATTTACTAAATTAAATTTCCCAATACCTACCTAATAAATATTAGCGATTAATTAAATAGATTAATTATTCACTAAATTAAATACTTATTCCACAAAATTCTTTAATTATTTAATTATTCCCCCCTAAATAAATATTATCTCTAATTAATTAAATCTAAATAGATAAATAAAATTCAACTAATTACATTACTTAACATAACTAATTAATTTAAGATATACAATAATAATATTCTTACTTAATTAAATTAACAAAAAATGCAATAAATAAAAATATAATTCAACTAATTAATTTACTTAACATAACTAATTAAATTTAATTAACATAACATGCAATAAATAAATATAATTAAACTAATTCAATTACTTAACATAACTAATTAAATTAACAAATAAATTAACATAACATGCATGAAATTTAAATTATTAAAAAAAATTAAAAAAAATTAAAAAAAATAATAAAAAAAAACCCGGTTGAACCGGGACGCGTGTTGAGCCCGTCCGGCCAATGAATTGGACGCGTCTATTGCCCGTTCACGGTTCAACCGGGGCGCGTATATTGCGCGTCTGGTTCGATTTTACCCGGTCCGGCCGCGCAATATACGCGGACGCGCAATGTACGTGTCCGGTTCAATGGCCGGACGCGTTTCTTGCGCATCTCCGGTTCATCCGGGACGGTTTTTTTGACCGGTTCGGTTATTTTTTAAGTTTTTTTTTTTTACCTCTGAATTACTCATTTTCTTTCTCTCTCTACTGGCAGGGGCAAAATCGCCAAAAAAATTTTGAGGTGGCTTTGAGTACTAATTTTGTTGGCTTCAAAAATCCCCCCCTTTTTTGTATTGTTTTTTCCCCTTTTTTTGGTATTTTGCCACCATTAGGAAAAGTGCAATAAATGAGATTAATTATATCCTTGATTACAAAGAACATCAAGAATAACTTCTCCATGGATAAAGTATGGATCTTGATTTTGATTGTTTACATTCAAACAAAAGTTGTTTATAACCATCCGAGAAATGCCTTTTTTTGGGGCGGACTAATGGAGTCAGAAAGTACTTAAAAAAAAATATGCCATAAAAATATGTGCTGAAAATCAACCATTCTTACTGCATACAAGAAAAAACAGCACAGAACTGTACACATTATCTCAAGGGAAGATTCACTAAAGAAAAGGTTGAGATTGGTTTTGTCCTCTTCTCTTTACAATCGTTTCATGTCTCTGATTTCTACTCTGTACTGCTGTGTACTTCTGCAATTCCATTGATCCTTCTCCCTCTTCTTTCGGTTTTGTTGGGCATATAGTTCAACCAGATAGCCAAAAGGTTTGGCTATTGCCAATTGATCTGCAACACCTCTTTTCTGCATCATGAGATGGTCCAAAGTTCAGAGTTAAAGCAATTATCAATCCTCCCTTGTCCTGATAGTAAGGAAATGTTAGTTTGAGGAAGCTTCATGCACAGTAAGGAGCCAATATGGACAGCTTCCTATCCTGCCTTACATGTACCTATCGAACAACAGGAAGAACTGATGAAGAAGAAGTGTCGCTATTGCAGAAGTTAAACTTCTGATTCTGCAAATACGCGTCTCCCTTTCCGTCTTAGTGATGTTGCATATCCCATGCAGCTTTCTAGTGTTTTTTAATGGAACCTGTAGTAAGATTCATGAAGACAGTCCGAGAATATTCAGAAATCAAAATCAATTTCCAGTACTATAGATTTCTATACCATGATAAGATACTAGGTTAGTAACAAGGTTCATGCTTTCAGTAAGACCTACCAATCCAAGCACGCCAGCTCAAAGTAGCACCAATAAGGTACTTGCTAAAACTCAGCGAGACATATATCAGAAGATCAACATGTTGTAATAAGAAACAAAAGACAGTTGTGGAGACTATCCAAACCATTCAGATTTCACCTTGTCCAGCACTATGAATCACTAAACAAAAAAATCAAAAACCAAAAGTCACCGCCAAAATCCAAATCTCCACCATAACAAGACAAAGCAAGGCAATAAAGATTCAACTCCTAATTATAAGCTCAGATTTCAATCAGTTTTAGATCAACAATCTAGAGGAACAGGTAATTAGACTTTCCTAACATCTCTAGGAGGCCGATTTGAGGAAACTACTCAAACAATGTGATCATGCAATCTGCGAATGAATTGGAAAATCTCCACAGATTCACTTCTGTATCATTTCGACAGACCCAAATTTTCATTGTAGATATCCAACAATTCAGGTGCTTCTGCCATGTAATATTCCACAAATGTCTGACGAAACTTTTTCTCTGGCATCATCAACATAGTTGGCAAGTTGAGTTTCTTTTTATCCAAACCTTTTGCAGACAATTCTATGAAGATGATACATCTTGGTTTAATTGTTTTCTGGAAACTCAAGGCAGCAATTACTGGTCTTTGCAGCAACAAAGAACGCTCAAAACCCATTTGGTTTATAAGTAAATCCATCACTGCCATAATCTTGCTCTCAGATGCTGACATGAACCATGGTCTCTACAAATTTCCTATCAGATGGTATGAGACGTTCCTCTAAGCTACTCCTCAAGACACAGGGTGCAATGTTCACAATTGCAGTTACATCAGCATCAGAAAAGCCTAAATCTCTTAAATAACTTACTTTGGGCAAAAGGGTCTTCTCTACATCACATAAAAGGATCGAAGGACCTGATTTCAGTGTCTTGAAAATCTGGGATTTGGTTAACTCAGGTCCTTCAGAAACGAAATAACTGAGTCTGGCTGCTCTGGAGTCTGCAAAGTTAATTGCCTTGAGACTGAAACAGCCTTTTCTCGACTGAACCCACATTTCTGAACGAGGTAATTGGCCGTGAACAAGCGGTTTCCTGATCTCATACCGATGAAAGTTGAATTTCTTACGGATGAGGTTGTGAGGGTTCTAAAATCAGACTTCAACTGAAGAAAATTTCTATTGAAAAATCTAAACATTTGATGAAATTAGGGATTGAGAATGCGGAAAGATTTCACCTTTTGCATGAATATGAAATGTCGTCAGCCCAATAGCTTGTTCACCATAAACCCTAATTCCCCAATTTGAAGATGCTGACCTGAAGCCTTCAATCAGAAGGACGCTCTAATGCCTTAGTGCCTTGTTACCGTAAAATGTGAATATAAAAATTAAAACCTTTAAAAATGGTCTCACATGTGTATAATAATTTAAAGTGATAACTAGATGCTTGGCCCGGCAGATGTCCGGGCGCCTTTCTACTTTAATATTGTGTTAATAGATAAATAAATTTTTGATTTGAAAAAAATAAAAAAACTACACATTTAGTTTTTTTTTTCTTTTTTTAGCCAAAAATAAAAAAAATCATCTCCCAAAGGAGAAAAAATATTAAAAAGTACAACCATGCAGAAATCATACAAAAAAATGTGGAGTAATAAAGGGAATAAGTTTATGGGCAAATTTAAATGCTATTTTAATTTGATTGATAAATGAAAAATGTTAGGAGTTAAAATTATGTAACTATTTTTGTAAAATAGCTTTTGTTTCTCCAGATAAGAATTTTTTTTTTTTAAAAAAAAAAAGATGACACGTGGCAGAATAGTTAATGCAATATGGTGCATTTGGAGCCAAAAATTTTTAATGAGAAGTTGTCACATCAACATCATGTATTCTGCTTTAATATGGTAAAAGGGATTATTTGATTAAATAATTTTTTTTGGAACTATTATATAATTTAATTTCTTTTTTCAAGTCTCAAGTGTCTTTCCAATAATCAAATCATAACTGAATTAAATAAAAAAAATTACTTTGACAGTAGACAATTTTTTTATTTTTTTATGTATTAGAATAGGTTATTTTTGGTAAAGGTTAATAGACTCCTTCCATGTTTATTTTCAATCGGTTTTTGCAATCTTTTAGAAAAAATTTAATGGAATATTTATTTTACATGTGTCCTATACTTTCTTTTATGCTCAATTCTTTTTCAATTTGTAATATTATTTTCCATTATGTCCAAGATAAGTAAGATTTACAAGTAAATTGGAGAGAGAGAAAAAAAAAAAAAACAAGGCAAGTTGTTATCTTGGACTTTTAGAAATGGGGCCAAAGTACCTTCTCAAAGTAATGCCCCCAACATTTATCAATTAGTATTTTAAACTTTTATGAGGCCCCCGTTGATGGGCATATTCTAACTATTATTAGAACTAAATAAATGATCTTTGCCTTGTCAGCATTTTTTTTTATGTCCCTTCAAAATGTCAACATCCTTACCATTCAATAGGGTTTGCAAAAGTGCAAAATTATGCAAATGATGATTCATAAGTTTGCAAAACCGCATGTTTTTTTTTATAGAGGGTATATGACCTTTTATGGCACTTTTATACTCCCTCCGTCCCATAATTATTATCCAGTTTGGATTTTTTATTTCAAGTTCAAATTGTACTAAAAGTGAAATCTCAAACTGGACAATAATTTTGGGACAGAGGGAGTAATTCGGATGCTCAAAAATTATTTTTAAAAAATGGGAAAAAGTCTTGTTTATTGGGTATATTTAGCAAATGAATTTTTTAATATATATATCCTACTATATTAGAAACAAAAACCTCCCTTTCAAACACTTCATATGATTGCCACGTGGCATATAAAAAGTACTAAATTGTCCTTTTGTCTAACCATAACAAAATTACTAAATCTCCCTTTGCACTTTATGTGACATGTTTTTTTTTTTATTTTTTCTTTATGTTTCATTCAACTAGAGTGGTTTTTTAAATTGAATTGATCAATTAAGTTTTTTGTTACAAAGTGTCAATTTTGTTTTAAGCGTATACCCTTCGGATGAAACTTATTACAAAGCTATTAAAAATCTCCAAAACTAAGTATTGATTTGGCACGACCAATGGAGAACATCAATAAATCATCTTACTAATATTTAAATTTATTAAAATGCTTTTATATTTTATCTAATATTTACTTCAACACATATATTCGATTAAGGCTATTTATATTTAATAAATAACACTTATAAAACATTTCTAAAACATACATGGCGAAATACTATTTTTTTTTTTTGCGAAATACAAATATTTCTATAATCATACTTATAAAACATTTCTAAATCCTTCAAATATTTCTAAAATATATCGCTCCAAATACAAAATTTTATTTTTTTCAAATATAAACATTTCTAAAATCTATAGATAGACTGGGCCAGGGTCGCGCATTGCGCGACCAGACATCACTAGTATATATATAGAATGTACTATGTAGTTTAACGAACAAGATTGTAGTTTTGGGAATAGAAGAAAAACTTAATACGAATTCATGGATTGTTCGTTATTTTGTGTATAATTCTTTTACAAGATATTGATCAAAATTTATCGGTTCTTTACAAGATATTGAGCAACGTTAAAATTGTCACTAATTGAAAATGAAATTGATGGAGGTAATCGTGCTTTTTCATAGACAGAATAGAAGTGTTGCACGGGTGGATTTCAGCGTAGAGATTGTATTCAAATGCACACAAAAAATGCAAAGTATTTGGCTTGCATTTTTCCTTTGACAGAAGAAAAAAGATAAATCAGAGAAGATAACATATGAGGTCATAAAAAGTGAGAGAAGATAATGTCATATGAGGTCGGTTACAACGTCACAATAATTGTCGTGTTACATGTATGATATTTCTTTTCTTTTCCATAAATCCCTTTACCCTATTTAAGCAGAATACAGGATGTTGATGTGACAACTTCTTATTAAAAAATTTTGGCTCCAAATACACTATATTGCTTTAACCATTCTGCCACGTGTCATCCATTTTTAAAAGAAAAAAAAAACTTCTTATCCAGAAAAACAAAAGCTAATTTACAAAAATAGCTACACAATTTTAACTCCTAATACTTATCATTTATCAATCAAATTAAGATAGGATTTAAATTTGTCCATAAACTTATCCCTTTTATTACTCCACATTCTTTTGTATGATTTCTGCATCGGTGTACTTTTCAATATTTTTTCTCCTTTTGCAGATGATTTTTTTTATTTTTATTTTTATTTTTGGCTAAAAAAGGGAAAAAATAAATGTGTAGCTATTTTATTTTTTCCAAATCAAAAATTCATTTATCTATTAACACAAAATTAAAGTAGAGGGACGCCCGGGCATCTGCCTGGGCCAAACATTTAATTTTCTTATATAGTTAATGGGTTTATTTCTCATTTTCAGGAGATTTACTGACAAATATATTTCTCAAGCCGTGATAGTAAAAAAAAAATTAAAATAATTAAAGGGTTCACACGATGAGAAAAATGATCAAAATCTTAAAAGTAATCTTACCCTACTCAACAAGTGAAACAAACATCTTTAAATACTTTGTTAAATATTTTGTTAATGCTTCCGTTGTAAAAAAATATAAATAATTAGAAATATTAAACATTTCACGCGATCACATTTTAAATAGTTATCGTTCAACAATCACATGTAAGTATCATATCAATGCTGCTTAGATACTCCACAGCTATATATTCCCTCCGGTCTTATAAGATATTTTGATTTCATTGTAAATTTCACCTAAGATGTCTTTTTAATTGAAATAAAAACCTTAAAAATATTTCATAATAATTAGGAGAACACAACGAATGTTAAAATAGATTTTTTAAGGTTTTTTCAATTAAAAAGACATCTTAGGTAAAATCTAGTACAAAATCAAAATGTGTTATAATAAGGAACGGAGGCAGTATATTCCTCCTACAGGCCAATCTAATTTCATAAGTTCTCTAATTTTTATACGGAAAAGAAAAGTTCATCGCCGGACTGACATCATAAATAACCAAAAGATGACCTCAAAAAATGGCCAGAAAACCCAAAGTAAATTTCATGGCAAAAAAGAATAAATGTAACACAAAATATACAAAAAAAAAAATAAAAAAGCAAATAAAAGCAACCGACACGCCTGATGAGAGATGAGAGACGCTCTGTTCATCACCGTTCAATCGAAGTCTGGTCAAAAAGACTTTGGCAAAATCTTTCTTGAAAAGTGAAACACAGTTCCAACTTCCAATTTGTGGCCACTATCACGCCTGAGTCAAAACTTCCCCTTCTTGATCACAATAGTAATAAATTGTTTTACTTTTAATTTTGGTTTTTTTTTTTACCCTGGTGTGATGAGGTCTAATTAATATAGCATGCTCTATCAGATTTTGTCAAATTGTCGACTCAATTGGTATATAGTTTTTAACTGTCCTTAAATTCCAAGGAATGAGCTAAATGTAAACTATTTTGATCAGTTGACAACTATTCTATTAAAAACGAACCATGTACGAATCTATTTGAAGTGGGGTGAATTTGGAGAACCGTATAACTATTGTGTTACAATTTCGTATTTAAAATGCACAAAAAAATTGACTAAGTAAGAACAATTTATCCATAAATATATCATTATTAATCAACTTGTTTACTTTCACTGTAACCCGTGACGTAACGTATATGATAATTATTTACGTGTTTCTATTTTTCCTCTTTTTATTGTGACTATTCATAATAATTCACTGCATGTAATAATCAAAATTGTGCATAATGTAATTGGTATATGATTAGAACACGATGTAACTGGTGTTTCATAAAAAGGCATTATAGTTGGCTAATGTCTATTTTTTTGTACCAAACAAAAGTGTATATTGTACATTCTTTAATTTTCCAAAGTAAAGATTAAACAATAGTCAAAACTCTACTTTCTCTCAATATCCATCAAGTTGACCGACCTAGATACCAGATCGAAGCCGTCCAATTCGGGCATCCAAAGAATTCAAAACCGTCAATTTCTTTTCAAAATAGTTTACAACCTCAACAGAGC